TTTTATACAAAGCTAAAAATATTATGATTAAATAATACTTTTAGTCCTGTATTTTAAATGACTGTGTTAAAAATCTTTTATGGAGATTAAGATAGGGTAAATCCACAGGAATTTGTCACGGGAAATTTTGATCATAACTAGCCGGGTAAAAACGACGAATTAATCRAACATTTTGAATCATATATATATATAGTGGGTGCAGTTTCTAACGGGYAACGAAGTGCACGGAAATCAGCTAGTTACATATATAAATTATAACCCGGATGTAAAGCCAATAGGTGCCCACCTAATTATATTATCACCGTGCATAATGAATTTAAAGGTTATACTTATAACACATCACACCTATATTTGCAGACATACATATAAATATTTTACAGAACCCCTAAATTAAAATATCCAAGTCAGAGTATATACCTGCAGGTACGGATTTTTGTCACGATTACATCGTTACACGTTACAAACTACAAAACTGATGTTATATACAATATACTCCACTGCAATAACAATACAAATTAATAATATATAACAGACAACAGTGTTTATTATTATCGACTATCGTACGATAATTTACTCAACAATATTTAAAATTGCTATTTTAAAAGCGTGAAATTTAAAAAATCTTTTCAAAAAATAAATGAAACAGCCATCGTTTAAATTTAAAACAATTTGAATGTAAGTACCTAATAACACTAATAACAATAAATATACGTCTATACATATTATATCGTTTTTAAGAAGATCGTTAATCATCGTGTCTCATAATAAAATGTTATTAAAATATGTCAAAGACTCCGCGCGAAAACTATAATATACTTTGAAGAATAACTGAAAGGGTTTGAAACCAGTAACCGATTTGTTCCGTCAACTGGTGAATATGACAAATTTTTGGACTGATAATCGTTCCCAAGTTCTCGGGTTCTAAGTTTATGATTTCGAGAAACAGTTAACAATATTACCAGTAATCACAAATTTAGAAAATGATTTAGTGAAGAATCATTTAATTAATCAAAAAGGTAAATATTAAAATCAATTAACATTTTATCAATTAATTGTATTTAAATTCCTGGATACATATAATTGTACTTACATTTTTATAAACTATAAAATTATTAAATAGTAGAAGATAATTATTAATTAAAACAATGTTATTGGTTATCGTGGTGGTATAGCGATCACYGCCAGATAATCCACGACTTATTTTAGTCGGTGCGTACGAATTGCGTCCCGTATAAAAAGGTTTAATACTAATTGCGTCCCGAATTTTTCTCGAACACGGTTGAATTATGTCCCTATTATGGGCAGRGTATTCGGTTACAACTATATGAACTACAAATACTCGTAGTTGTGAAGCTTTTCATTCGAAGCTCAACGCGATGTTCTATAATGCTCATCCAAATATTTTTCAATTTATAAATATTCTGAAGAAGAGGTCACGAACTGATATTTATATAAAACAACGGAGCACTCACTTATAGAATCGTAAAATATCGATAATGAATAAAGAACAATTTTTAAAACAAGCAATGACAGATTTTCAATAAAAAAAAAAAATTAGTAGATTTGAATTCATAAAAAAAGTTTTCTTTTAAATTTGTACAAATATCATAATATTTTTTACTACTTACGCTTATATTTTTATGCRGTTATTATTATACAGATTTTTATTACAGTTTATATTTATATATTTTTTAATATTTTTATACATTTAAAATTACAAATGCAATATAATAATATAAAAAGCAAAAATAATATTTTTAACTTACTTGTAGTAGTAATTATTATTTAATTATTAATACAGACAGTCCTAAGTCTGTATAAAAATGGGAAGGGAAATATTATTTAGTTTTTAAAATATACGAGACACATTTGGTATGCACAAAAAAATTCGGGATGCAACTAGTATAACTCCAAAAAATATCCGGGACGCAATTCGTATGCAGCCATTTTAGTAATTATTCAAATTTTGAAATGTTTAGCAAATGTTTATATTATAAATTAATATGGTTATTGATAAAATATACCGTTTTACGARTATGTGTAAAAACGGAATACATTTTAATACATTTAGTATTATAATTTGGTTTATTAAATTGAATGAAATACATTTCAAATGTTCAACCAAAGATATGTATTTTTAGTTATTATAAAAACATATCAAAGTGACTTAACATTGGATCATTGGCCATCACCATTTATAAAAACCACTGTACTTTRACTTCTAAGGTAAGATATTTCCATTGTTAAAATAGTGTTTGAGATCTTTTTTTTGATATTTTATGAAGGAAGACTTTATAAACATTAACTTCATTAACACAAATTATGAGATTAGCAGTTGAGACAGTATGAAATGGAGTACCTGCAGACATGCATTGGTGTCAATAAAATATTTTATATTATTTTTTATATTATTCTGAATCGTATAAATTACATGATTATCGATTGACGAATTATTTTCAGTCTTGTTTTACCTCAAGCAACTAGTTACCACGGTATCCGCAAYGTTGGATTTAGTTATTAATCCTTACCGAGCAATAAAATAGGGAAAACTATTACAGATCTAGTATCTATACCTGTGGCCAGTGAGGCGAATAAATATTATYATAATTTTTATGTCATYACAATATAGTTATTCGTCGATTCGAAACCACCTGTATTTATTATAAATTACAATACTAATAGACAATAGTAATAATAAATGATTTAATGTCCCTATGGCGTTTTAATATGTATTAAAAATTGTATACAATAATCAGTTCTGCAATAGTTGGGTGTGTCAGCCGTCAGGTGTGCACACGAACCACGGACTCCAGATTTGCAGGATCATGACATTTTTAAATATTTAGATTAATTTTAAATTTTAAACTATTACTTATTTGTAGCTGTGTATTACACTGTTCTACGATAATGTGGTATTAACTCAACGATTATTAACAATAATAAAATACGATAGAAATTTAGACTATTATAATAATTAGGTAAACATTGATTAATACAATAAACGCAATGCTTTTGACGAAAATTAAATCGTCTTCCGTAAWACTAATATTAAAATAAGTTACTTTGAACAGTTCGAACAGCCTGTGACCTGTTTTTTGTCAGTTATTTAATTTTACATTAGTCACAACATTTGATGAGATGGTTATGAAAAGTATTAAGTAATATAACTAATAAAGTAACYTTAACTCCTTATCATATTTTAAAAATAATAAATTTCAGAACCTCAAAATAAATCCTTGCACACGGACCTATAAGAGTTTAAAATTGCAACACTGACGATAATACAAATTGCACAGACWCATCACACAATTAATGCTGAATTAATATAATTAACGGGGGCTCTCTGAACTTGTTGCTCTATATTAGACTTTTATTTATTGTTTCTCGAGTTCGCTGACGATGATTTCAAAATTAAAAATTCTATAATAATTAAATGAATATTCCATATTAGAATTTATTAGAATATGYGTATTAGTATAATGAAACCATACGATTTTGAGATCTGTCCGAAAAAAATTACACAATGTTGGCGTGGGGGGGGGGACACGCTCGGCACGTACCTATATACTTTTTAGCGGGCTCGCGTGAAATTCAATCGTCGCTGCCATTGTTCCGGACAACCGCGGGATGCCGTAAAAACGGAAATAAGCCGTGCAACCCATCTCCGGACGGCGGCGAGCGAAAAAGCAATAAGAGCAGCAGCCACCACCACCACCACCGCCGCCGCCGCCGCTGCAGACGACGACAAACACTCGCGAGCCACTGACCGGTGCACTGGCGCGCATGTTCGTCGGTGGGTGTCGTCGTCACATATTGCAGTGTTTCAGCCATTTTTTTTTTTTGTTAAATGTCTGGTTTGATGCACATGGTTTTTACATTAGTTTTAAAATATTATGTTTGAATGCACTCACCTATAATTGTCTATAGGTACTGCAGTGCAACTTATCCTGCACGTAATGACCCTCAGAGAAGGATATAATATATTGCATAGTTGTTTATAAACTGGTGCACGAGTGCAGTGTTACGCGAGCCTTCTTTTTTCTCGATAACGTGCAAATTCGCGAAAAAAAAGTTACTCGTGACGGTAGGCCATCGATTTCATGGTCAATTCTGTCACAGATTCTGTGACTGGTAGGGACTAACGCCGATAGCTGATTGTCGCCGTCAAATAACTTATAGCTGGTCAACAGTGACGATATTATTATGTTGTTAATAGATCGCTGGAATCAAAAACAATTATATTATTATATAATCGATTGCATGATATAGGTACGCGGGTCATCGCAAGATTTCTAATTATAACAATGCGCAAAATAATTTTTTTATGAACACAATAAATTACAATTTACTCATCAGATAAATTCACATATTATTGCATTTATCGTACATATCGCAATAACAGAAATTAATTCTTCACTTTATACTATTATTAATATTATTAATAGAGTACATAATGATAATAACACGCGTACATTATCATATGCGTRTAATGTAGRTTCAGTACGATCGTGTGCTGATGCGCGTGCGCTCGCTTGTATAATATACATATAGTACACGCGTATATATAACAGTAGCGTAATAGTAGTAGTATAGTTGTAGTAGTAGTAGTAGTAGTAGTAGTGTGCACCGTAGTAGAAGACTTGATATAGACGGAATGGCGCATGTTTGGTGGCAGCGGCGGCGGTGGTGGCTTAGGTGGTGGCAGTGGAGGCGGTGGTCGTGACGGCGGCGGCAGGTAGGTCGTATTACGCTACAGCGGCCGCCGCCGATCGTATATACTACGCGAGCCGTTTTACGCGCGGCTCTGTACTGCGCCGCGCGTGCCGTGCAGCGGCCGTTCGGCGAGACGGTCTCGGCGTGGGTGGGTGGCCGGGTGGCCGTGTTGCGAGTGGGTGGGATACGGTAGTCGCGTCGCGTCGTGGCGCGCGGGAAGGTGGGTAAAAGGCTACCGAGCGAGTCTGCCGCCGCCGCTTTTCAGTACGTGACGGACGCGCGCGCATCGCGACACGACCGAGACGCGCGGGACTCTGCTGCAGCAGCCGCCGCCAACACCGCCGCCGAAACCGCCGAAACCGCCGGAACGTATCGCCGAGACGGACAATGTGAGTGGCGATTTTCTGTTAACGTTGTCGTTTTGGTTTCATTATCGTACCTAAATTGTAGTAATATTGTAATGTGGAATAGTAATATGCCCAGGGCCAATTTGGTCGCGACAAGTGCAGAACACGTTTGCCGAACTATTGTTATCGGTATGGACGGGTATGAAAACGGTTGCACTTCATATAACCCGCGGCTAGCAGTTMCCCGCAGTTACCTGCAGAACATGAGTAGAGGAAATCTCTCGACAGACTATTATAATTTATAATATTCGCAAAACGAATAGCTTGAACAACTAGCTGCGTGCATTGTGTAATAGTTTTATTGTAACAATAACATTAATAGTGGGCCCAGTCCACGCGCTTTGTTTTTTCGATAACTTAAAAAATCTCTCGSGTTTTCCCGATCTMCGGGTGCCAAGGAAAATTTTGAAAAAAAATTAACTTTATAACAGAACGTCATTAGGACGAATTCTCGTGGAGCGTACCACTGATAATAATATTATTATATTGTAATAGCTGCAGGGATATATTACATTAATTTTATGTGACGCTATATATTATATAAGTATTCTTGTCCTCTCGGAATTCGACGTCCAAATATTGATGGTCTTGTATACCGTAAGGAGATTTCCAATTTGAAGTCGTCTAAGAAATCACTATAATCACGTATATTTATCTATATCACRAGGTACCTCTATTCCGTATAGGACWTCGTCATTCGGCTGTGTCGATGGTATTCTTATTCTATTTCTATCACTGACTAATTTTCAGTTTTTCACAATCTATACGCGTAACACTGCTGCAGTACTGGTAATTATAATAATATATGTTTATTTATTAAGTACAGTATAGTATTTAAATCTTAGCATTAATGTGAAAAACAGTTATGTTCAATTATAATTTGCGCCTTGTGTCTTATTAACTGACCAACCAATAACAAACCCGCACATACCCACCAAAATTTTCGAGCAGCGTGTTAAGTATASCTAATAAGTAATAAGTAATAGTTCAAACTAACCTCCCGACACGTCTTGCTGTTTAAGTCATCACTWATACCGCGATGATCACAATTCTTGTCGTATTTGGATACGTTTTGACGATTATAGAATATTGCAAATCGTATACGATAACAATATTTATTATTATTTACTTACACCCAGAAAAATAGGTTTTCTATGATGGCTGTGAACGGCTTGATTGTTGTACTTTTAGTAAAATGATTCAGTCGTTACGTTTATACACATMATAAAATCAATATTCATATATTTTCATTAGTAAATTATTTCGACGATAGCGGCCCATAATTCGGTATTTTGTGCRTACAAACTATACGTATTGTTTTAATAATCCGTAGTTTTATAATCTATTTGATTGGTACCTATATTTTTATTATTAATTTATTCGTTTTTGAAATATATTAAAACTTTTTGAATCGSCTGATGAAAAATATTATATTTGCTTGATTTTTCTATCAGTTAATATTTCTATTCCCAAGTAAACTTCAAATATGTTTCATGCAAATAGCATTAAGGATATTATGAACCATAAACCATTTGAAAAAAAAATCTAAAACCACGTTGTACTCTTAATATTATCTAACCGTTCAACTATTTTGCAGTGAACTCGCATATAAATTTGTTTTAGTCATTAATCATTATACATATCAAGTATCAGTCAATTTGTATAACTAGAACTATGCACGTTTTTCATTGAATGGACAAAAATTAGACGCAATTACAATAATTTTATAGAGAATAARCGCCGCAAATCACCTAAGTATAGGTAGGTACCAAACTAATTTCCGTTACCCGTTGACCGCATTAAACATGACRAAGTATTGTAATTTAATGGGAATAAAAAACTACAATAATATTGTTGTATTTAGATTTCATTTTAATTAAAACAATAAAACATTTTAGCGCGATAATATTTTTCATATCAATATTGCAATCAATTTTACTGATAGTGTTCTTGCAGTGTAGTATTCAGCTGCATTGACTACAATAGCTGTTTTGTTAAAATATTATTTTCATGTTAAAAGTAAATAGTCACTATAATAAAACTGTATAGATATTATTATAAAAAATATTAAGTATGATGCAAACGGGTATTTGTGACTGTAATCCGGTAAACAATAGAAAATTCTCATTAAGAGCACTCCTGGTAGAAATATTATCCATATAAGAGCTGTTCTACAGTTTTATTTATAAAGTGTCTGACGATATCGTTTGAGCTTAATATTGGTTGTTATTTTTGTAATTCATTTTACAAAGCGGTCAAKTTTTTCCCCGACCAAACGGTATAATGCGTGACGATGATGATGATTATTATATTGTAAGGGTGTGCCAAAGTGTGTATTTTGATTCCGAGCACGAGCCTCACCGACCCTAACTGTTTGTTACAGATTGAGTTTGGAGAAGGGTAGACGGTTTGACGCCCCAATCCCCAGCCACGCGCTTGTACCGGTATATTATTTACGCACAGTTCACACAATCAACTCTCCGAAAACTCTAGACGACTATTATAATCATAATAATAATATACTTCCAACACTTATACGGAAGCAACATTTTTGAAATTAAAAACTTGAAACGGCTGCAACTTGTGTGAACTTGAAAACTCGTAGGTATATATTTTTGTATAGCTTCACAGTATTGCGCCATGTAGATGCAAAGACGGTCTTTTAGAAAAAAAATCTGCTGATCGTATAAACGTGTATTGAATATAAATCGGGTTGGGTGGTTCGATGATAGAGATTAATGATTTTAGCTCAATTAACGCATGCTATATGGATCACTATTTATGTATACTATGTGCTATATTACGGACTTCTCGCTTTGATTTAATAATACTTCGTTCGACTTATCTACAGCAGTAAAAACCAAACTACATACTGTAACAACCGTACGCACGTTTATAGGAATAAAAATCATCGATGACATAAGTTTATTTCGCGTCTCAATGTTAAAAATCGTACTGTAGACCTGCCACATATTATTGATTGATTAGTACTCAACGATGATTAATAAAAATAATTAAAAAWAATAATAATAATGATTTTAATAATATCGGTATACATTATAGAATGAAAAAGTCGTATTATATAATATTGTTTTGTGTATGTGTTAGGGATAAAGAACAAAAACGGTTAGAGTACATATTACCCGGATAATGTGAACCTCATTCATATGGACAGTGTAATGTATACATTTACCACCTTAAATATGTATAGTATCCAATCAATTTATACATTATCTGGTGTGCTGTGGATAAAGTATTCRTATAACTATAATCGTAAACTTATAACGTCGGTACAACACGACCAATGCATCAAACACTTAAAATGGTACAGATTATACAGGGTCTTGCTAGTAGCAAAAACCAAATTATACTAATATTCAAAAAAAATGTATTTATTATTATTACTATTAAACTATAAATTATATATTTGAACAATTTTACTATTTACTTAACTAAAATTTAAAAATGAAATACAWTTATTAGAAAAATTTGAGTTCGGATAACATTTAGAATTACAAAGTATTCTCCCGAATTTGCGTTTATATTTATTTGTTAAGCATTTAGTTTTACGTAAACACTTCTTAAAAACTTGACTACCAGAAAAAGATTGTAGATTAGCTATTTCACGCAGAGATTTTTTTGTGGCTAAAACTTTTAAAATATCTATTAATGGTTCAGAAGATACAGTAAATTGATTTCTGGAATAAAGTTGATGAAGAGTGTCATTTTTATTTCCTAGTTCGTTATATTGATTATCATTTATCACTAATAGACACAATCGCAAAGAGTACATTCTAAGGATCACCTTTACTTATGTCTACTTCTGGTAGTTTGACTCGAACTGTGTCACCAACATTGCATTGTGGGAATTTGTTAATGGATCTGACTGCTTCAGCTGGTAGTAAAGATGAGAACAAACCAATTTTCATATCAGTACTAAACATGGCCATGTATGGAGATCTTTAAATGCCATCGTAATAGGTTCTATTTTTMATTAGCTGTACAAATCGTCAATCGAAGTCCCTCTGACCATGATTTACAGTTATTTGTTTTTATCCACGTTAACAACATATTTTGTATGTATTGGTTTACTCTCTCGACACTTCTTTGTGATTGACTGTGGCGTGGCTTTCCGTGAACGATTTTCAGTGTGTCCCACATTTCTTTTAAGTCTTCTATTAATTTATTTACAAACTGGCGGCCATTTYCAGATTGTAATATTATCGGAGCTCCGAAAATACATAATATGTCGATAAGATGTTTTGCAACTTCTGCTCTCTCTGTTTTTAATTATTTTAGTTGAACKAATTCCTGATATACCATAATAAACCGGAACTCTCCATCCCCCTGCGACTGCATATCAATCAGGTCCACTTGGCACCAACTATTCATTTCCGAAAACACCATTGGTTTAATCACTAGACCCTTGTTTTTAGATTTTTGTTTAGATTGACATGATTAGCAAAATGTTAAGTAGATAGATACTGCTTCTTGTGTTATATTTTTATACTTTTTTTAAATTCAGCATTCATGTGGTGTTTTCCGCCATGCCCAATATTCAAATGTACATCGTGTAGCACATTATAGATATTATTTTCATTAGTAAYATATAGTAAAAAATGTTTTTATTACCTTCCAACAACCGCAATATTAATTTATCTTCTTCTCCAATAGTAATGAAGTCGTATCTTTTCAAAATTTGATATGCTTTGTTACTTTTTATTCCACTTGATCTCACATTTTTAATTTCCAAAACTATTTTGTTAACTTAACTGCCGATAAATAATCTGAATTATTATTTTTTTCATTGACTATTTTATAAAAACACTTATAATATTTTTTGTGTKAAGTCATTTTAAAAACCTATTATATGTATGACATGTGATTAARACGAATTAGCACTGTACTAAATAGTCCGTGTGTTTCCTCATAAACATTTATCTACAATCGTTATTTTATCTAAGTACTAACCATATTTTGTA